CTGGTGCAGTCTGCGCGGAGGACGGGGTGGGGGAGCCGCAGGAAGGGTGCGGGCGGCCCGGCGTAGGTCTCCGCGGGTCTTCTCTCCGTTGCCCTCAGTCCGCGTGCCTCGTTTTCTTCCTTCGGAAGGATCCAGGAGATGCGAGAGCCCTGCGGCACGGACGTGGAGTCTCGAGTCTGGAGGCTGGAAGGGAAGCCACAGCTCGGGCGGTAGGGCGGGGTCACCAGGGGGCGGGGTTACGAGGTGCCTGGCCAATGGGCAGCGGCGGGGACTCAGGGCGGGGCTCCGGTCGGCACCCGCTGCCCGAGGCGGGCCGCGGGCGGGGGAGTAGGTCTCTAACTCCTTGGCCTGGAGGCCCGACCTGCTCCTCCGCCCTGGCCGCACCGATGCCGCCAGGTTCCTGCAACCGCACCACCCCCTCCCCAAGTCCCGGGCTTCCCTTGCGCGTTCTGGAGGGAGCGCCGCTGGGCAGGTGTGAGCTCGCGCCCTGGGGAGGCGGGCTCGGACCCGAAGCTGCGGTTCCTTCCCCGCTGCTATTGACATCATTTTACAGACAGAGGCCTCACACTCGCCCAAGGTTGTATCCCTAGTAAAAGAGGTGTGGGTTGAATTGCGTCCCCCCAGGAGATATGTTCATATCCCAACTTCCTGCCTGGGAAGTCGACCCTATTTGGAAACAGGGTCTTTGCAGATGATCAAGTTAGGAGCGGTCATCAGGAGGGCACCACCAATAACTGGTGTCCTGGGAAGCGAAAACACACCCGGAGCACACAGGGAGAAGGCCAGGTGAAGATGGAGCCTGGGGCTGGAGTGAGGCTCACACAAGCCGAAGACACCCAGGGACTGCCGGCCAGCAGCAGAAGCTGGGAAGAAGCAAGGGCAGATTCTCCCCCAAAGTGCTGGTGGGGAGCAGGGGTCTGTACACACCCCGCCTTTGGGCACCTGGCTTCCAAGGCTTGGAGAAAGTTACTGTGTGTTTTGTGGCACGTCACTGAGGGCCTTAGGGGATGGATGGGAAGCCTGCCGTCCAGCTGCAGGCAGCGTTGGAGATAAGCACGGACTGTGGGTGCCCTCCAGGGGACTCAGCCAGATTGGGGTGGGGGTTGGTCAAGGTAGGCTTCTGGAGAAAGTAGTGTCACAGCCAAGACCTGGCATGGGGAGAGGGAGAGGAGACATTCAATTCAGGACCTGCCCAGGGTGGGTGTGCATGGCTGTCCGAAGGGTACATGCCCAGTTGAGAGTCAGCTTCACACATGGGGAACTCTGGGGGAGAGGCTGGGCTGGACGTCCTCCCCATTCCCCAAAGTCCACCTCAAGGCTGGCTGAGGGGTGGGGTTTGTGTGAGTGGCACTGGGAGGCTGGTGGGCAACGTGGGCAAGTCTGCGGTTTATAAAAACTCCCCCGGGGACTGGGTGTAGAGAATGGACTGGAGAGGAAGAAGTGGGGCAGGGGAGCCAGTGAAGAGGAAGCTGCCCCTTGTTCCAGGAAAGAAGTTGGACTAAGGCCCTGGCGGTCATTGGTGGGAGGTGGTGGTCGGGCAGAACAGCAGAAGAGAGGAAGAGGGGAGGATTTAGGAGGTGGACTCCTTGGAGGAGGAGGGGGAGTCCTGGCTGGCTGGGGTGGAATCTCCAGGAAGCAGCCGTTGTGGGGAAGATGGGTCCGCAGTTGCCCCCAGGACTGGACCCCAGCCCTGAGCTGTCCTGGAGGTGACTACGGAAGGTGACAGGCACTGCAGGCTCTTGGGAGCCCCCAGCAGCCAGTCCCAAGGCAGGCAGAGAGAGGGCTGGGCAGAGAGGGTGGGGGAGACCTGCTCAGGCCTCTTGGCCACGACTTGGGATGGGGGTGAAGCACAGTTTCAGTCTGCACATCCATGTCCCTGCCTGACAGGGACTCCTGCTCATCAGGGGGGTGGTCCCTGTGACCTGAGGGGGCTCACAGTACTGTTTGCTGGTTGCCAGCTCCTGCGGCTGTCCCAGCAGACTGCAGTGGTCCTGGGCTGAGTGGGAGCCAAGGCAGAGCCTGGCCTTGGGGAAGTCCAGCTTTCCAGCTTGGAGAATAGAGTGCTCAAGGCTGGGAAGGGGCTTCCAGGGAGGTGGGGGTGGGGCCCCCCTCCCCTGCTGCCACGGCTGGGCCTGCCCTGGGCTGAAGGGAGGGGACCTCCCTTCCCTTCTCTCCTTGGAGGCAGGGGCCACTGGGGGCACTGGAGGAGGGGCGGCTTGAGACTGCTGGTTTCCACTTGGAAGCCCTCTTTATTTGGCTGGGGATGGAGAAAGGCTGGGGTCAGAGTGCATGCATCCCCATGGAAACAGCAATGAGCCTGGCCCCTTGGGGACCCTGGCCCTGATGGGGGATGGGGAGGCCAAGCTGGGGCTCCAGGGCTCCTTCGGCTGAGGCCTGGGCCTGGCCTTTGGCAGCAGCTCTTAAAGGGAGGTCCAGGCCCTGAGCTGCGGGACCTGTGATGAAAAGGAGCAGGGGAGGCAGGGCCACAGGGAGAACTCAGAGGGGAGAGTGGACTGCGCCTCCTGCAGCTGGATGCTCCCCCTGGGCCGTTAGTAGGCAGCCAGAGGCGGTGAGGCTGCAGGCCTTGTGGGCAAAGGGACTTCTGGTTCAGCTTGACCCTGCTCTGTGGCTGCAGGCCTGGTTCCAGAGCCCCAGGTGGGTCTGGGTACCCTGGTCCTAAATGCCTTGCTCAGCTCAGCTCAGACTCAGCCTCAGCCTGAGAGGCTCACTGCCAGGGGGTGGGGGTGGGAGCCAAGGTGGAGGACAACTGAACCCCAGCAGTCTGAGCAGGGCAGCCCTTGCCCTCGGAAAGGCTTTTTGTCTGTCTGTGGTTGCCACGATGTGTCACAACTGGATTCTGCTCTGGCCAGGTAGCTTAATTGGTTAGAGCATTGTCCTGATGCACCAAGGTTGCAGGTTCGATTCCTGGTCAGCGTACATACAGGAATCAACCATCCACTGAACGCATAAATAAGTGGAAAAACAAATCTATGTTTCTCTCTGTCTCCCTTCCTCTATTAAAAAAAGAAATGACAAAAGACTGGATTCTTAGTCCCTCCATCAGCTGCAGTTGCCCTTGTCTGTGTACAGAGTTTTCACTCAGAGAAATGATGAGTCTCAGAGACCAAAATAAGGCTCGGCCCCAGCCACTGCCATTCTTGGGTGCCCTGCACACCTCTGGGCCCACTGGGCTCTAGGCTCCGCCGCTCCATGCCCTCACCTGCCTGCCTGAGGCCAGCTGTCCAGGACCAGGTGTTCTCTCTGTCCATCCTGTGGGGGAAGCTACCCAGGCTCTCAGAAGTGCCAGCGTGTATGTGCACCAAAATAGTTGCCCCAGAATCAAGTGCCCACCCTTGGGAGCCTCACAGGTGAGTGCACCCATTAGGGACATGTACTGGTCAGTCGATAGGGCCAGCTCTACCAAGTCCGCTGGTGCATGAAGGGCTGGCGGCTGTCTGGCTGGCCAGACTTGCCCAAAAGACCTCAGAACCTCCGAGAGACGGCCATCTGGGCTCAGGGAGGCCCCTGCCGGGCAGAAAAAGACCAGCTAGCTCCAAATCACTTTCTTCAAGAAAATCCAAACACACACTTGCATGTTTTGAATAAATTTACATGTCGATCGCACTATTCTTAAGTTAGATTTTTTTCTTCTGGAAGAGGAGCCTTCATTCCAAGTCTGGGAAATAAAATGAGATAGAGGAAATTCCTCTTGTACTGCCGGGATTTAAAAGGTGCTGGGATGGCTCTAAGTTTTCAGGATTGTGCTACAGAGGGGTCCAGAGGACACCAGTCCTTCCCCAGACAGAGGGATATGGCGATACGAATATGAAAGGGGTCGCCCAACTAGACCCCTTCCAGGGCTCCCGGTGGTAAGGGCATCTCTTCTGGTTACTCCAGATCCCCAGCACCCTGCGAGAATGCAGCACACGGCGGCAAGTCCTTACCATACACTTCCCAGACAAAAGGGTGAATGATTCCACAATCCCTGGGACACTGGAGAGGGCCCTGTCTGGGCTTGGGTACACACCAGGGTGGGAAGTCGCTCAAGCTTGTAGCTGGCCCAGGTGGGGAGTCTGAATGCCCATTTCTCTTCAGGGAGTGTTGCCTGCTGGAGTCGCACACTGGCAGAACTGATCAGGCCATTGTACTCCAACCTGTCACGGATGTGGCCAGTTCAAGGAAGGGTGGGACTGGTGGTGGTGATCACGGTGGGTCTCTGCAACTGAGGCAGATTCTACAGGAGCTGGCACAGGAGTCTGGGCTGGAAGACCTGCGATGGGAAACCTGAGGGGTGAGTCTCCGTTTCCACTGTACACACTTGCTCTCCTCACCGCGGCCAGAGTGATCTTCCCAAAGCTGGACTCTGTCCAGAGGCCACTCCTGGGCCTCTGCCCCACCCCAGCCTCCCTGGAATGACACCACCCCCAGCAGTTTCAGGGACTGTGATCCCTTCGAGGACAGTTTCAGGGACTCTGACCACCATCTTCCACCCCCCGCCGGCCCCCATGCACCCAGCTCCAGGCCAGCCCTGAGTCCTGCAGGCTGGGGGACGGCTGAACCCTCCTCGCTCTGCAGGTAATCTGCAGGAAGACCGCAACACCATGGGGTCTGCCGGCCCCCCTATCCCTGTAGTTGCTTGTGACCATCTCTGCCTAGTCCATGCTGCAGGGCTCAGGAGCGCAGGCGTGGGGGCTCTGCCCCTCTTCAGCGCGGGAGCCCCTCCAAGCTACCCGGCGAGGTCCACCTAGGTTTTCACGCGTATGCGCACTGAAACCCGACCGCCGCCTTCTAGAGCGGCAGCTCCAGGACCAGCACCTTCTTCCTGCCTCCACCGTCCAGGGTGCCTCCCGCGCGAGGCGCGCACGAGCGCAGGGCGGGAGGGCGCGGCGGGCCCCCGTCCGGTGCCGGAGCGGGTCGCGCGGGGTGGCCTCCTGGGCGGTGATTGGGCGCGCGGCCGTGACGTCAGTACGCCCGCTCGCCCGGCCTCATCCTCCGGCTCGGAGCTTTCGGTTCAGCTGCCTCCTGGCGCGCGCCTAGCCGAACAGAGGGAGCGGGGCGCGCGTCGGCGCGGATTTGAGGCGGCTCGCGGGGTCTCGCGGCCCCGGCTCCAGCCTCCCGGCCCGGCCCGGCCTCCACCCGCGACCGCCGCCCCTCCCCGTTAGCCCAGCGAGGATTTGAACGGCCGGGCCACAGCCCGCGAGCGCGGCAGCCAATCAGCGGCGTGCACTTTCCCGCGGCTTCTGCGGCGGCGGCGGCCCGGCGGCGGCGGCGGCGGCGGGCGGGAGCGCGGGGGCGGGGTCGGCGCCGCGCGCGGAGAACCTCGGCCAGGCCGCGCTGCGCCCGCCGCCGCCCCCTCCCCTCCCTCGGCTCTCCTTTCCCGCGGCCCCGGCCCCCTCCCCACCGCCGCGGAGCCCAGCGCCGCGGTCCGAGAGCCGCCGCCAGAGGATGCGACGCACCACAGGTCATTGGGGCGGCCGGGGGCCTGAGAGTGGGGCGGGGGCCGGGGGGCCGGGGGCGCGGCCGGGACTTGGGCGGGCTGCAGCGGCGGTGGTAACGGGGCGGCGAGCGGGCGCGGCCATGTTGGGCCTCCGCGGCGGTTGCACCTGTGCCGGCCTGCGGGCCAGGCGGCCTTTGTTCGCGGCGGCGCCCAGCCGGCCGGGCCGGCCTTTGTGAGGCGCCGGCCAGGCCGGGCTCGGGCCGGGCGGTGGGAGGGGCGCAGCGGGCGGCGGGGAGGTGCTTTTTGTCTACCGCGGGTCCTCGGGAGACACTGGCGGGCGCTGGCCGTTGGTCAGCACGGGCGCCCGGCTGCCGGAACGGGCCTTGGCAGGTGGAGGCGGACGTAGGGCGCGGGGACCCTGCCGGGCTGCGGGCGCGCGCCGCCCCCAGACTCGCCTCGGTGCCCACGGTCCTCGGGGCCAACGAGGTCCCTCGGGGCGCGCACAAACGCGGCCCCGGTCCACACTCTGGCTTGACCCCAGTCGCCGGGAGGGCGGTTTAAAATCTGGGCATTTAAAAACCGCTGCTCTTGACTTTGGGTGGAAAGGACTTGGAACCGTTGCAGCCTTGCTGTTTTCCCGCGGCGCCCGGGACGCATGTGGTCCCAGGTTTGACATTTGAGCGGAAACTTAGTATCTGGGCGGCAGGGATCCCCTCGGGGCAGGAACCCGGCGCCCTGGGGTGCGCATGGGAACAGAGCCTGCAGCAGAGGAGCCGTACGACCGGTGACTGGGGAGCCGGTTAGGGAAGTTCTTGACTGACAGCCCGCGCTCAGACTTTGAAGGCCTTGACTTTTAAGTGGGTTAAACACCAAGATGTACGTTTCTCCGTCACTAACCAGCCTAAATGCCTCGGTGGTGCTGAGTCTGTTTTATGTGCTTTTAAATAAGCTTATTAAGGTGGAAAGTTAGCTATCCCGTTCGTGCGTTGCTACTGAAACTTTTATTTTCCAAAATAATTTAAATGTCCTTGTTACATACTTAAATGTGAGGAGAGCAACGGTATTGAAAACCCCCAACTCCAAAGGGTAACACGGAGGAAACGAGCCCCAGAGCTCAGACATCCCTTTCTGCGTGGGCTTGCCCGGGCCTGGGCTCAAATCTAGACCGCCGGCTGCCGGAGCAGGACTCATGCCTGAAGCACGTTGACTTTGAGTCACTTCCTTTCCTTCTCTTCCATTCTCTCAGCCTTCAGTTTGGGGCCGTGGTTACCAGTGCACACCGCATGGGTGTGAGCTTTTGTGAAGAGCTGGGGTCTCTGGTGCCCGCGGTACCCAGAGCCGGCCCTCCTGCCGCATCACAGCCCTAGAGGGTCCATTCTGAGGGTGTGGGATGAGGGGCTGCAGGATCTTCAGAAGCTTCAGAGGGTGATGGGTGCTTTGTCCTGTGTGTGAACACGTGCCAAATTCGTCTGTAAGGGGTGAGTGAACACAACTTGTGGCTCATGGAGGCATACAGAGTGAAAGAAGGGGTGGCTACTAAGCCTGCGTTTTTTCATGCAGCTGATTTACACAGGGCGTATAAAACCACGCCTGCTCAAGGGTGAGTTAGTAAAGGAAGCGGGGGTCAGAATCACAGGGGTTAGAGGCCAGGCAGCCCTTGCAGGGGGGTCCAGCCTTCTTCCCCTTGGACGACCTCTCCTCCTGCAAGTAGTCCAGCTTTGAAGAGTTTACTCACAGGGCAGAATGTAAACTAAAGCTAATTAGTTACTTCCTCTTACAGTTTACTGCTTAGTATATCACATGTAAAAGTAGGTGGAATTAGATTTCCTGAGAAGTGCCGGTGAGAAGACAGGAAACACTAGTAAATTGTGTGCAATGGGAGATACAGGGTTCTTGTCACCAAGCACATATGGAAGCATGAGCTGAAGTGGTGCCGAAGTTCGTCACCCAGCTTTCTGTTCCTGCTCGTTTTAATCAGGACAAAGCACATTTCCAAGGAAAGGCTCCCAGCAGCAGGGACAGAAGGTTCAGGCTTTCTGCTCACACTCTGGGCATGCCGTGTTGCTAGTGTTTGGCTGGGCCGGCTGCTTGGCCCCCGAGTGCCCGTCTTGGAGCTGCGTCATAGCCTCGGAGCCCAGCTCTTCTCTTTTGCCCAATTACAGTGAAGGTGTCCTTGCTCACCACGTGTTGGGCTCCAGGCCTTTGTGTGGACTGTGGCGGGGTGGCCCTCTGCTGTCCTCGCCGGCTGAGGGCAGAGCACCCGGCCTTCCAGGGGTACCTGGGACCTTTCTCCCCTGTGGGGTGGGCTCTTGGAGGCAGGAGGACTGTCACTGCCTGTGCTGGTGCCCCATCATGGCAGGCACTCAGTAGATGCCGAAGCCGCAGGCCCAGGACTCAGCATAACCCAACAGCTGGGTTGAATGCCAGCGCCCGGCCTGTCTGCCTGTGCCGTTCGTTCGCCACGGCAGCAAGGGAGCGTCTGCAGGAGGCTGAGTTTGGAGAGGGAGGGGCTGACCCAGGGTTGCCCTGCTCTCGTCGGGGAGCCACGGCCTGTTTGCCAGGCCGGCCTCCTTTCTTTCCTCTTCTCGTCCCAGCGAGTGCAAATGTCAAATAAAAATCAACTGTGGAACAGCAGCAGCAGGACCGACCTGTGACTAACCACCTCTGCGATGGAGAGGGCAGGGTGCGTCCGCGCCGGCCGTGTCCTGGGCAGGGCACGGGGCGCACGGAGCCGCAGAGCACGGGAGCGAGCGGCGACGTGGAAGGTGGGGGCCTAGGCTCCTGGGCTCCTGCTTGGCACAGTCTTCACACGACTGGTGCCTTTCTTTGTCACGAGTGGTTATTTATAGTAAGCACTTTGGGGAGACGAAGTCTGAAGTGGGTCACCCCAGGGACTCAGCGGCATTTTGTGTTTGTGTATTGGTTGCGATGTAGCTTTTGAAGGAGCTGATTGATTTGATGATACTCGGTTTGCTAGTTAGAAAAAATCAAGACAGACCTCAAATTAGCGTTATTTTTTGAGTCTGGCTCCCAAAAAGCAAATGGCTGATGACGAGCATCTTAACTTCTGTGATACTTGGTGGTTTTTAATACTCAATAGTTCACAAAACACACAGGGTAGAAATTGCAAAGTGCAGGCTGAGCCGAGTGCTGGCCTTTGCTAGTGGGTGTGTAGACAGTCTTTTTTTTTTCCTAAAGATTTTGTGCGTTTATTTTCGAAAGAGGCAGAGAAACACCAATGTGTGGTTGCCTCTCGCCTGCACCCACTGGGGACCTGGCCCCCAGCCCCGAGTCCCTGACTGGTTTGGGAGGCCCAGGGGTGTGTCCTTGGCCTTTTGTGTCTCACCCGCCTTCCCACCACTGTCCACTCCCACGGGCTCCAGCCACTGGGGCCCCTGGCCTGGTGCCCAGCTGTGCGTGGCCTCAGGCCGTGGCACTTGCCCCGCATCAGGAACTCTCCTCTGCACACCCGCACACGGGGCTTCCTGCCCGCCCCGCCGCCCCCCCTCCAAATGGGTCCCATTGCCTGTCCGTCTCCCGGACTGCACTGAGGTGTCTGTCAGGGCGGGAGTTTCCTTTTTCCTGACCTTCTTTCCCTTTTCCTCTAGATTTTTAAAATGTTTATTTATTTTTACAGGAGAGGGGAGGGAGAAAGAGAGGGAGGGAAACATCAGCTGGTTGCCTCTAGCATGTCAGTACCTGGGACCTGGCCTGCAACTCAGGCAGGTGCCCCGACTGGGAATCGAACTGGTGGCACCAGCCAGCTCACTGAGCCACAGCTGCCAGGGCAGCTCTGGCCACTCTCGTGTGCCCGGGGGGGCCGTTCACTCAGTGACCACACGAAGGCCCCTCAGCCCCTGTATCAGGTCCGTCGTGCAAACTCCGTGAAGGGTGCAGGTGACAGGGAGTCAGTGGCGTGAGCACATCATTCTGGTAGGAGATTGGAAAGGCCACCTCCCCATGGGCTGGCGACAGGTCAAAGGAGGCCCGTGGACCAGTCATTGAGAACCGTGGCCTTCCCACGCACAGGAGGTGGGGGAGGAGGAGTGGGCAAATGCAAGAGCGGGGCCGTTGGTGGGCTGGGGTCAGCGTGGGACTCAGACTCGGGGGGTGGGCCCCAGGAGTTCTGGGGCTGGTAGTTTGCAGGATGGGGACGGGATTGCTGCCCCAGTCTCACTGTGCAGCAGTGGAAAGGAAGGGGGCCCCTCTGTCATCTACTTCTGTCCTTCCCACACAGAAGCTCGGCCTCCCTGAGAGCGGCCCTGGGGCCGTGCTGCTCGTCCCACAGGGGAGCTCTGGTGGTGTGTGGTCCCTGCCTGTCCTCAGCGTCTTTGCTGGCCAGTCCTTGGCAGGGCGCTGAGGTTGTCCCGCTGGGCCGCCCCGGGTCCCGTCTGCAGGCCTCCCTGGGGCGTTGCCCGGCCCCCAGGCCAGCGGCCTCGTTTCTCCGTGAGCACAGGGCCCTGGCTGGGCCTGCAGTGCAGACTCTCGCCTCCCGTCCAGGCCGTGAGCCTTTGGGGGCGGGGCCCTCTGACTTGTCCTGGAGGTTCCGGGCTGCATCCAGAGGCACTTGGTTAAGGGGGGGGGCGGGTAGCTTTTGAGCCTTCTCTCCTAAAGATTTTTATTTCATAAGCTTGTGAATTCCTAGGTTTTTAAAGTTGAAATAATGTTAGATAAAGGAAACTTCTGTCTTGCTTTCCCCAGAAGATTTGAAGTCAAGTTGCCATCTGCGCAGAGCTTCTCCTTAAGTGGCTTTGCACTGCAAACCTTTTCCGAGGCTCTTTGGGTCCTCATGGCAGGAGGCCGGACCCCACAGACTTGAGGGGAGGCCCAGGGTCATCGGGCCACGTGCCGCCGGGGCGCCTGCGGGCCTGAGCCGGTTCTGTGCCCTGGGGACATGCTGCTCTGCCTCTCGGGCCCTGTCAACGGACGGCCGTCTGCCCCGGAACAGGGAGCCGCTACATGTAGTCAGCGGGGCATCCTGTCTCACTGGCCGTCAGCCGTGTGCTGGCGGTGAGGCAGGGCCT